CAATCTAACTCCAGACACCAGGCACCACCATAAAAACATGAACAACATGGAAAACTAAGACAGTGTGCCTCTTCCAAAAGTTATTAAGATGACTGTAATGGTCCCTGCTTCAATAAGGAGAAATACAGCTCAAACTGTAATAAAAAATGAAATGACGTATTCAGTAAAACCAATAAAAAGATCAAAGCCTCACAGATAGAATATATCAAGTATATAATATCAGAACTTGAAGACAAAATAAAGGAATTGAATCACTTAGTCAAAGAAAATAAGATGTTATAACTCATTAATGGAACATGCAAGACCTTTGGGTCACTATGAAAAGTCTAAAACAATGACTTATTGACATAGAAGGAGAAGAAATTCAGGTCAAAGGCAAATAAAATATTTTCAATAAAATCATAGAAGAAAATTTCCTACATCTTAGGAAAGAAATGCCCACTGGAGTGTAAAATCACACAAAATATAATAGACAGGAGCAGAAAACGAATTCCCTATGTCAAGTAATAATCAAAACACCAAGTGTACAGAACAAATAAAGATCAGATCTAAAATTAGTAAAATAAAAATGAAAAAATACACACAAAAATAAATAAAATGAAGATAGTTCTTTAAAAACATAAACAAAGCCGGGTGGTGGTGGCGCACGCCTTTAATCCCAGCACTCGGGAGGCAGAGCCAGGCGGATCTCCGTGAGTTCGAGGCCAGCCTGGGCTACCAAGTGAGTTCCAGGAAAGGCACAAAGCTACACAGAGAAACCCTGTCTCGAAAAACCAAAAAAAAAAAAAAAAAAACAAAAAACATAAACAAGATTGACAAACCTTTAGTCAAATAATCAAAAGAAGTAGGACAAAGTCCCAAATTAATAAAATCAGAGTGAAAAGAGAGACATTACAATAAATATCAACGGGATTCAGAAAATCATGAGGACATACAGTAAAAATCTATATTCCACTAAATTAGAAAAACTAAAAGAAATGAATGAATCTCTAGATAAATATGACTAAGATTAAACAGATAAATATTAAGAGACTTACATAGAGTGAGATTGAAGTAATAATTAAAACTCTCCCAACTAAAAAGAAGTCTAAGATGCATTCACTTCAGAATTCTACCAAACATTTAAAGAAGAATTAATTGCCAATCCTAAGCAAATTATTCCACAAAATAGAAAAACAAAAGGAAGGCTTCTAAATTCTTTTTATGAAGCTAATACTACCCTGACACAAACCCAGATAAAAACACAACCAGAAGAAAAATTACAGACCAATCTCCTTATTTAGAAGCAAAAATTCTCTATAAACATTTAAAACAGATTCAAGATCATATCAAAAAGCTCATTCATTATGACCAAATTGGTTGCATCCTAGAGGCATGGGGATTATTTAATATAACTATACACCAATAAATGAAACTCATTGCATAAATGGACTGAGAAATGGAAATCATATGATCATCTCAATACATGCAGAAAGGACTTTGGCAAAATTCAATATTCCTTTCAGCAGGATACAAAGCCAGTAGGCTTCCTTTATACCAATAAAAAACACAATGAAAAAGAGAACAAGGAGACGATCTCATCCACAACATACAAATAGGCAGACAGGCATACAGACAGAAACACACACACATAAATAATAATATTAATTAAATTCATTCAAAGAAACTTGGGAATAAACCTAACCAAAGAAATGAAAGACCTCTATAACAAAAACTTTAAAACATTCAAGAGAGAAACTGAGGAAGACACCTCCCTGGTTCCTGGACAGGAAGAATTAAACTTGTGAAAATGGCTGTCTTACTAAAATCAATCTACAAATGCAGTGCATTCTCAATCTAAATTCCAGGTCAATTCTTCATAGACATAGAAAAAATAATCTTAAAATGTATATGGAAACACAAAAGACCAAGGATGACCAAAGCAATCCTGAACATATTGACTGCAGCAGATGTCACCACACATACCGGCCACAAGCAGACACACAGACCAATGAGATGGAATAGAGAACCCAGATATAACTACATACAACTACACTTATTTGATGTTTGACAAAGATACCAGGAATATATATAAAAAAAGCTGCCTTGAACAAATGGTCCCAGGAAAAATGCTTACCAACATGTAGAAAAATAAAATCAGAACTTTCTCTCTTATCCTGCACAAAACTGAATTCAAAATGGATCAAGGATCTCAACCTAAGACTGCATACTTCAGAACTGCTAAAAGACAAAGAAAGTGCACTTCCACATACAAACAGAGGCAAGGCCTTTCTGAACAGGATGCCAACAGTGCAAGAAATACAGCCCATGACTTAGAAATGGGATCTCGTGAAACAGACAGACAATAACAACAACAACGAATCTGTGTATAACAAGAGAAACCACCAATCAAGTGAAGGAGCAGCATACAGAATCATAGAAAAACTGGCCAGTATACCTCTCACAGAAGTTGGATATCTAGAATATACAACTAAAAATATGATCAGGAGAACAAATAACCTCATCAAAATATGGGCCATTAATTAAGCAACGAATTCACAAAAGAAGTAATATAAATGGCAACATTATGAGCCATCAGGACAATGGAAATTTGAACTTCTTTGAGATCCCATCTCACTCCTGTCAGAATAACTATCATCACTAAAATAAATGACAACAAACACTCGCAAGGCTGTGGAGAAAGAGGAACCTCTTAGGCACTGTTAATAGGCGTGTAAACTGGTGCAGCCACTACTGATAGGAGTGTGGATGGTCCTCCAAACACTAGAAACAGAGCATCTATTTGTCCCAGCTTTATCTGCTGGGCATACTCTAAAAGGATTGTATCATGGTCAGCCAAGTTCATTGCTGTTGTATTTCTGTAAAGAGAAATAAACTTACGAAATTTGTAAGTAAACAGATGAAGTTAGAAAAAAAATTATACTGAGCAAGGTAGCCCAGACTCAGAAAGACAAGTACCACATGTTCTCTCATATGTGGACCCTAGCTTCAAATCTTTAGGCTCTTCTGTTTAGGTTGGAGAAGTATAGAAACCAAAAGAGGGTCACTGGGCTGAAGCATGACTTAAAGGAGTGAGGCTGGCAGAATATAACGATATGAGAACTGAGAGGGTGAAGGCTGAGGTCAGAAAGTGTAAACAGGGATGAGGCAGAGGGATGGGAAAGATGAGGGAGTAGGGAGACACGTTTAATTCAAACTAAGAATGTATGAAGAGTCATATGGAAAGTTACTATTTTGTAAACCAATTAAAAATGTAAGCTAAAAGTAGAGATTTGGAAGGGAGATGGTCTGTATGTCTTGACAGCTCCTCCTGAATGCCAAGGATTGTTAAACAAAACCCCAGTGCCAAGTGTGAGACACTTACGAATGGTCAGGGACACCTCAGATTCCTCAAAAAAAAAAAAAAAAAAATACTCTTACTACTCTTCTAAATTGCCCACCAGAACTAGTTGGTAAGACCCTATTGATTAAGACACCACACTAGTTTGCCAAGAAATAAAGAAGTCAAGCCAGAACTGAGATGGATGCTTCCTCCCTATTGGTTAGCTTTCATGGTACTGAAATGTGCTGTTGGGGAAGAAAGGGCATCAGTAGTCACCCCCAGATGTAAAGTCTATGAACTACAATTCCGACCTTCCAGGTGAGATGTACCCAATGGTATAAGAGTGGTACAACTGTTATGGGGGTAACCAACTTTCCCCCCTTTTAGGTCTGAGGTCCAATTGACAAGAAGGAATTCATCCTTGGTGCTGTAAACTTTTCTTAAAAAAATCTAAAGCTGAAGAAGCCTTAGGCTCTGAAGGCAAACTACTACTACAGTGGTAGTTTGTGGTAGATGTGTTTATCTGATTGTAGAAAGTGGAGGCATGAGGTAACTTGGTAAGAGCAATGTCCTCTGGTGAAAAAGAAAGTCACAAATACAGGAGATGAAGGAACTCAGAGAATGGGACAAATGGGTTATAACAATTGCTCAAATGTGCTTTCAGTGTTCTTAAGTAGCTAAATGCTATATACATAGCTACGGGGAAAATAAATTGTTTATCCCCCAAATGAACTGAGACCTACATCTCTGTCTACCATTACCTTCCTTTCCTGGTCCTCCTAGTGTCCATGGTTCTACTGGCCACAGCAATTAGAGGGGCAGTCCTTGTCTTCAGCTATGTACCCATTGGCCAGACTACCAGGATCTGTCAGCTCCATACAGATCATCCTGAATAAACTCAATGGGTCTCAAAAGAGGTGTGAATTGAATATGGGAAGGGACTTGTGGGGGTGACAGAGGTGGGAGGCGGATTGCAGCCATCAGGGCGCACTTCACATATGTATGAAATTGTCAGATTCAGTAAGTCATATAAAACAAGATTTCACTAGGTGGACACACATTTATATACCATTTCCTAAGGGTACCTAATAAAAAGCTGAAATGACTGACTTAAGTTGTGAGGAGACAGAATTTGACTGTCAAAATAGCTGTAAATAGATGGTAAAAAAGAGGGAATCACAGAGGTCTACAAATCTGTGTAGTGTGTAAGTCCTTGGCTAATCTCCTAGCAGGATATGAGGGGAAAGTCTACACCAAGAATGAAAACACAGCAGTCGGTATTCATGTCTTCAGAATGGCCAAAGCCCAAGGTTTGGGTCTTTCCAAGTTAGAGGTGTTGGTAAATTTTGACCTTTATATGGACCTAGACTAACAACAACAACAAAAAACCAAGCCTAGAAACTCAGTAACCATCTAGTAACTTCAGTGACCACTGTGCTTGTGGAATTATAAATAAATTATAGGTATCCAGGGCAGTGATGGACATTTTTATAGATATTTAAAATTTATTCATTCCTCGTTTCAAGACCAGTAGTCTAAAGTTGGGTGGGAAATGGCTTGAAGTAGAGTGGATAGAAAGAGCAGTTAGCCCTCAGTTTGGACTAAGAGCATGTTGAGAGGGCACAAAATATTAAAAAATGTGAATTTATTTACGAATAAAATAAATATATTAAGCAAATTATTTAAAGATTTTTATTCTTATAAATATGTTTACTCAATGGTTTAAATGACATAAATCACAATTTGAGTCAAACATTGCAGTTTTAATGTAACAAAAATGTAAAACCTTAAAAACCACATTTAAAACATATATTCACATATTTTTAAAATAAAGATCAAATTCTTTCAGAAAGATTTAAAAATCACAGATCATTTTAAAACAACCATTTCTTTTCCAAAATAGGAGTCTTTTTGAGAAATTAAGTTTTAGGCAGCTACATCTCTACTTGATAACAAAGATCTCTGCTTCCTTGTAAATTAATAGGGCTGAAAACTTCAGCCAGCATTGTGGATTGTGTTCACATAACAATCTGAAGCACTGATGATACACGGGAGATGGAAGATTGTCTGCTCTGGAAGAGCCAGTTAGCGTGTGCCTCATTTGTCTGATCTAGAAAAGCAGTTAAATTGCAGTTCCACAGCAATTTTTTTTTTCTAAAATGGTACAAAAGTGAAGGTAGGTTTGGTGTCCTTTCCCCACTCCTAAAAACACCTGTAACTACGAGCATGGGATTCTGCTCAGGCTGCCTATTCACAAACCTAAGGACAAATAATCTCTGCTTAGTTACTGCATGGGAAGCAGTAACACTAGAGAGCTGAGATACAGTGAGTGGGTGAAGCACCAACAGCAGTAGTCAGTTCATCTGAGACATAGCTATGGAACAAATGACTTTTGTTTCACATTTACCTTCACTTCGTGTAACTCGGGAAACCTCTTCAGTTACAGTATAATAAGCACTTGCCTAGCAAGTTTTAAGTCCTATGTTTGATCCCCAGCACTGCATAAACTAGGCCTGGTGCAGCACACCTGTAATCCCAGCAGATCAGAGGTAGAGGCAAAAGAATCAGGAGTTCAAGGTCATTCCTGGCTACATTGCAAATTCCAAGGCTAGCTTGGATTATGAGATCCTTCCTAAAAAACAAACAATAATAAACAAGGGTGGATAATTATAAATCTTTGTGGTTCAAAACAATACAAAACTATAAAAAGTTTAGACTAGTAAAAAAAAAGTTAAATTACAAGAACACTTCAAAATGTAGCATATTGTCATCACGTGGCAAATACTTCATTAACAATTTTTACAGACAGTACTTTCCTACTTATCACTACAGGGAAAACACAAACACATTTTTTCACTGACAAAGGAATATAAATGTATGTAAGATAAATACTGTATTATTAGTACACTGAAATATTATATTGGCTTTGGCTAGGTTGTATAACTCAAATTTGTTGAAAAAAAATAGGGTAACAAGAACTAAAAGTCCACTTTAATTCAGAAACAAAATACATCAAAGACAGAATACTTCAAGATACTTGAAATTGTGTTGCCAAAGAATATCAGCTGCAATAAACACAGGTTTAAATAGCAGGCTTTGAGACACCTGGCAAAGGTACTATGCCATATCTACTCACTCAAGTCTCTGAGGCTTTCCTGATAAAACGTTTTCAGTAAATACAACACTCATTTGGGGAGCTCCATACCCCGAAAGAGACTAAGTAATTAAAAACAAAAAGTGGGGTGTTTTTGGTTTTTGGTTTTTTTGTGTGTGTGAGCGGAAATATATTTTTTGACCTCTGATTTACTTTAAAGCAATGTAGAATGCTTTCAAATAATTCTAAGAATTTATTGTTATAGGAGCTGTTGTTCTAAGTTAAACACCGAGAATGTTTTTAACAATTTGCCTTGTAATGAAACCATTTAAGTATTTATCATTTTATTTGTGTTCCTCTGAAAAACTTGACATTTTCAGAAACATGTAAGTTATCCAGTACCGTGCCATGAGAGGTCTGACTAGTAGAGACCTCGCTTCCTATTTTCTCTTAATGAACTTTGACCATGAGGCAGAACAGCAAAAACTCACAGCTTTATGTTCAATTACAAAAGGAATGGACTTTGGAGAGTCACCAGGGATGCCTGATGTTCAGCTTCTTCACTGGTTAATAAGAAATCAGCATCTACATCATAGCCATGTGAGTGAGACAGCATAGAGATAGGTAGGTAGGCAGATAGATAGATAGATAGATAGATAGATAGATAGATAGACAGACAGACAGATACATCTCAACCAGTAAAACATCATCAACAGATAAAGACAACGACTGTGATTCTTCTTTTCGTTTTTGCTCATCTTAAACAGTGGTACACACATGGTTCAAATAAACTGAACTGATCAAATTCTGAATGCAAGTTCAATGTAGTATTTAATATTACATTTTTGAAAAAAAAAATACCCTAACTACTTTTGGTTTAACAGAGTCTAAGGAACAAAAAAGTTACCACCAATCAGTATCTCATTTTAAAATAATATAACAATATTATCAGATTACCAAATTACCACAAAACTTACTTTAAAAATAACTTCCAAGCATTACAAATTTAGTGCTGGATTCATGGGTATATTAAAAATGTCATCAGTATCTAATTTATATATTTCTCAACAATATATGGCCATCAAATTCAAATACATAAAAAGCACCCAAATAAAAGTAATTCTTTCCTTCCTAGAGCTAAAACAGCTGAACACCAGATGTTTCTAACTGGTTGAAATTTCATGATTAAAGTATCATAAATTGTCAAAACTTCTATTATAGTTATTGAGATGACTTGGTATTTAAAATAGTATTAAAATCCTACCCTAGTGTAGGCAGTACATATACAACTAAATGTGCATGTCTGCACTGAACACTACTGAAATTAACACTCAGAAAACAGGCAGAAAAGGGGTGGGGAGGGTGTCTCATTGTAAAATGAGTTACTTCCTAAGATTAGGTTAGCAATATAGTACTTTTCTAGGATATTTGCTTCCTTCTATGCTGAAAACTCCATTCAATATACATTTACCTGATATAGAACATATGGTGTGCTTATAAGTTTTATGGATATAGAGTAGGGCATGAATCCTCGTTGAAATGGGTAAGACCCACATCAGATACTAACTAGAGTTCAGATATAACATTCTCATTTGTGATTAGGAAAAAACAACTGTCCTTCAACAATTTGTCTTTTTATTCTGGAACCAAAATCAAGTACATTTTTTCTACATCTTATTTTAATTTCCTCTATGTAAAGTATTATGTACATTACACTTGTTTTAACCATTTAAAGAAGTCCTAATTGCTTCAAAGATAATGATGATCTATACTCTTTTTATCTGAATACAGTTTTGAACTGGACCTAAAATATATGTTCACTCTTTAGGAATTCTACATTAAAGCTGTGGATCCCTTCTCTTCTCTCCGGACAATTATGATGAACATAATGTCAAGTCAGTTAAGTTCACACTAGAAATATATCACATCCTAAGTTATTCACCAGAAATAAATTACATTTGTTTATAGCAGGTATTTTATAACAGGATAAACACAGATAACTGTGAGAACAATAATTCCTCTTGCAATATTATGTACTAGGTGTAAAGAGCACTCTCCACATCATTTAGGGAGACAGAGTCATAAAAGGGGTACCCATGGAAAGTATAAACGTAAGCAAAATGTATTGCACACAAACTAATATATCTGAAAATGACAGTCTATGCCTACAGATTTTCACATAAAGTAGAACTGGTTACACTGATTACTGAGCCTAAAGCAACTCAAGGCAAAGACTAAGAGACACTTTAAAATAATCAATAGGAAGAGGAGTGATAAGACTGCATGGCCCACAAGCCCTTCAGCAGGTGGTACATATCTTCTACAATCACCTTTTAGAACTGTTAACTTAATTCTGTGTGTGGGCAGTTAAGGGTATGTGCAGGGGAGTAGAGGTGACTGCAGAAGCCAGAGGACTAAAGATCCCTAGAGGTGGAATTCAAAGTGGTTGTGTGCTGCCCTATATAGGGGCTAGGAAGCACTCTAAGGTCCCCTGCAAGAGTGGTTAGTGCTTTTAACCACTGAGCCCCTTTATAATCACTTATTAATCAATAAATTCAATTAAGTCTAATAAAAATACTTGACAATTCTTGAAAAATGTAAAACTTTTTCAGAAATACAGTATCTATAAAAGCAAGGCTCTTTCCAAGCGAAATGATTTCCCACAGATGAATCTGTTATTTTGAACAACCAAAGCAAAAGCTGCTGTGCAAAGCTTATTTTTCTCACATACTCATTTAGTGACAAAGACTGAGAAATTCACCAGCAAATGACCACCTTCCTGGCAAATGCCCAAGAAAATTTAACTGAGCATCTACCTGATAAAAAGTATCAACATGCATCCATTTTTAAAATCATAGTGAAAAATAAATAGCACCTTTTAACCATGGCATTCCGTTCTGAAATGCCAAGTCCTACTTTCAATACTTTAGACAGCGTTGCAGAATACCTCTTCTCTCCCTATAGACCTCTAAAATGTCCCCTAATTCAAAAGTGACTCAACACCTACAAGTGAAAGGGAGTAGGACCTCTAAAAGCAGTCTCCTTCCATCACATGGGACAAAGCGCTTCCTCCATCCCCTCAGTGTGCCTAGATATAAAAGGCCTGGCCTAAGAGCAGCAGACAGCAGCTGCTTTATTCAAGTGCACGTGTTTGCAATTTCACCTTCCTGGACTTAGTTCTCTATCATAATAAATCCATCGTGAAAGCAGAAATGGAGTATGCTTTCTGATCTGATCACAACTCAATCACTGTTGTGATTTACTTCTAAGTCTGAAGCAAAGCAATGGTCTGTGCTGACTGACCACTCTGGACGATATTTGTAACTTTTACCCAAGTAGTTTTTAAACCTGTATACTACACATTTAAAACTCAAGAAAACATAATCCAACAACAAAAGCAAAGTTTTTGGTCCCTTTGTGTGTGTGTGTGTGTGTGTGTGTGTGTGTGTGTCTGCATGCATGCACACATGCACACGTATTCATGTGTAAAGCTCAGAAAGAAAAATGGGCTAAAAAGTAAGCTTTATTCACAGTCCTGGGTTTCCAGTCACAGCACACAACTAGCCGACAGTGTCTGTGAGGGAGTGACAACTAAATGAATAAACTTCCATTAATAAAACAAATTAATAAATTCATATTAATAAAATGAATAAACAGTAAGCACAAAACCAACAGACAAAAAAAAAAAAAAAACCCAGAGTCACACCCAATAGTGTTCCCTAAATTATACTCCCTAAATAAAGTTAAACCAATGACTTCTCACCTCCGAGTTCTTCTGGTTTGATTGGGTAAGAGGGACAAATGTAAATTATAAGAATTCAGACATCTTTTTTGTTTGTTTGTTTTTGGCCTCTTAGCTAAAGACAAACTTTTACTTAAAAGATCTCAGCAAGGACATCTCCTAAAAAGTTATTACATCCCCCTCCACACACACACACAAAATCATGTGTACCTGGAACCTGTGAATGGGACCCGACTTGAAGTTTTACAGATATAACCAAGTCTTCAGGTAGTCACCCTGAATCAGACAGAGGTTCCCTAAATTCAAAGGTGTATTATCTGAACAAGAAAACAGTAGAGACAACCTTACGAAGACACAGGCAGCCTGGAGGGACCTGTGGAAATGTAAGGCCCCTGCAAACAGTTGCTGGAGTGAGCTGAGTGGGGACTTCTGTCTCCGGGATGAACTATCTCTGGCCACACTTGGAATCTAGGTGCTGCACCTGTAAGTACGTGAGGAAAAGTTTTAAGCCACAGGTTTGTGGTCCTTTTTGTACAGGATCTCTAGGTAACTAACAGAGCAATGTATTTCAGAAAGATTATCTGTAAAAGGTGTTGTAATCAACAAAGTTTATCTTTGGCCTGTATAAACATCAAATCAGGAATTAGTTCAAATGGCTTCATCACTTCTGTATTTTAATTTTAAAAAACTGATTCCTAAGTATCCCAAAGCCTCTAGCTCATGATTTGCTGTCTGTAAATCCATTCTAGTTTAAGACTAGAGTTACATTTGCTGCAATATCTGCTCACTTTACTCAAAAATACTACTGGGTTATTTGTAAACAGTTTTCATTTTTTTTGATGTTCTTTACACAAGAAAAATCAGTCAATTGGTTCTAGTGCTGCAGAGCTCACCCAGGCCCCTCAATGTGCACACACACAGGAAAGGTCCCCAAGCCTGTGAGAAGTTGGCAGTACTAGTACTCCTCAAGACAACTGTAAGCAACCTTATGACTACTATTCAGGCTTTTAGGCTGGTCTCAAATTTAATGCTTTTCACTCAACTTCCCTGAATTTACCTAACAGGAATTCCATTTCTACTTACCCAGTTATTTGTTGTAGAAATAGTCTACTTTTAAAATTCAAAATATTCCTACTATTACCACATAAACCTTTGAATGTCCTGATTATTTGGCCACTGAAAAGTCTTGTTCAGAAAGATATAAAAAGTTAGAAAATTAACAACTGTATAGCAACCTAGTTCACAAACAAGTCTAGATATGGGAGGCAGAGGTATGTTAAGCCTATAAATAATGTAAGGTAAAATGAAGTAACGGAATTCTAGTAGTTTCTGAGGAACTGTAGAAGCGACCAAGCATACAAAAAACATTAAATTCCAGAAAATTGATTTTGATTTCAAAGAGTCAGCTATGGCCCAACCAGCAAACATGTAGGCTGGAACTAGTAAATATTTCACAATTTCATGTCTCTGAAATACTCTTTTCCACACGTAAAATGTGTAATGCCTATTATCCGCCAGTAAATACTTATGGACATAAGTGAATTTCCAAACAAAAACCATTGAGACTAGCATAATCACAGAGAACTGAACTCTACGTTTCCAAATTAAGCTAAGGAAAGTCTTGATTTTTGTAGGAGAGAGTAAGTGAGGGAAGGAGAAAAAAGCAGTGAATGAGAAAAAGTAGAATAACTGAGGAAAATGAAGACAGGCTTCATGACTGCTCCGGTCACCAATCACAATCCCACCATTGACGACTACAAAAACAACAAACGCCAAGACCAGAAGGACGTAGGGCCAGGTCAAAAGGAAAAGCATACTCAGGTTCTTAAACGACATGGAATACACCAGAAGAAACTGAAGAACTCTTCTGAGTTCCGAAAACGGTCCTTTAATGGGGGGAAGCCTCTCTTCCTTCTTCTTGTGCAGCTCAGTTTTCCAGGCCTCACTGAGCTTCTGTGCAATGAGGTGTCCCGCACAGAAGGCAGCCCAGATGATATTGGTCTGACGAAACATGAAGCCACAAAACCCAAGCAAGGCTGAAGTCCTATGATTGCCGTAAAGACACATCAAGTAAGCAAAGAGAGTGAAGAACACAGACCCGGGTTCTGTGTAATAAAGGAAGTTAAAGAAATAGAGGGTCGGAAATACTGCTAGTGTCAATGTTGACAAGATTCTTTGGATACTTGAAGAAGCCTTGAAGGAAAAAGAAAAAAATTATTTTTAGGGTAAAATAAATACACCATTTCTGTTGAATTAATGAAGAGATTTATTTAAAACTCACTTGAGTTAATTCAAATGAATCATATTTTTGGCTTTGCAACACCATGTATAAGAATACGTCTGGTAATTTCTAGTTACATTAATCAGCTTGGAAACCATTAAGATACTAAGGAGGTAAAACTCTTAAAAAAAAAACTTAAAATCTTTTGAATTACTGAGCAAATCATTTAGGGATCACTGGATACAAGATCCTGGACTAAGGTACATGGGGATACAGAGGTGAAGAGAACACAGTAAAGACAAGGACAGCAATGCTACCTTGAACTTAGTTCTTAGTCAGTCTCACCCAACCCTGTAAGGATAGCCTTCAAACCTCTAGAGAAAACTGAAATGTGCCAATAGTATTAATTACCCTGCCTGGTAATCTTACCTTTTGTATAATGAAATTACAAGGATCTTTCCTAATAAATAAATAAATAAGTAAATAAATTCAGGCCTGCTCTAAACTCAAATGTTTTCTTTTAGCTTTTTTGACAATTTCAGAACACAACTGTTTTGAATCTCTTTGAACTGTATCCTTTATCACATAAAGTCAAACCATGCCAATCCTTTGATTAAATTCCTCCTCAGGCCAGGTGTGGTGACACATGTCTTTAATCTCAGAACTTGGAAAGCAGAGGCAGGTGGATCTCTATGAGTTCTAGGACAGCCAGACCTGCACAGAGAGTTTGAGGCCAGCCAGGGCTACATAGTGAGACCCTGTCTCAACAAATAGACAAAGCTCCACAATAGCCTGTAAACTTGGAACATATATGCTATACCTTGTTCCTTTTGAAAATTTTGTGTATTGTAAACAGTTTTACACAAAATACTAAATAATGGAAACTGTGTAATTTACAATCATATAATTAAAACTATTAAAGGAAAAAAAGCACAGGAAATCAAAGTCACAGGAAAACACATTCACGGCTTCACTCCTGCTTCACATCACTGTAACTCATAACCTTATAATTTTAAACAGTAATTCCCTTTGCTGACACTGTTTCTATCAAGATTACCTTCTTATCTGTCAATTTTATGCCTCATTAGGTTCAACACAGGTGCCATTTATGAAGCCTTCGAAAAACCATCCTTTCTCCCTTTATCCCATCAGGCTGCAACAGTATTTCTCTGCTCCTGTCATGTACCCTTAGCCCCTTTTCATAATTCATACTACTAAAAAGACCTTAGTAAACATTACTGTCACAGTTAACATTTATTAAAACCTTATTAGGTACTAGCTTAAGCAATTTCCACTTATTAAACTCCTTTACTCTTAATACAAATTCAGTGAAGTAAAATTTATTATTACTATTGATATTTAATTTAAATTATTTCAAATAGATAAAGACATAAAATCACAAAAGGGTAATTTGTTCACGTTAATATAAGTGATGGCCAGGATTGAATTTAAACCCAGGCAATCTATCTCCAAGACTTGCATTATGAAATCACATCAAACTCCCTCAACTAAAATTTATTTCCACTAAAGAGGATCGAATTTCCTTAAGAAAACATGAAATTATTAAATTGGTTTAGTTCCCTAACAAACACCTACTTTAGATTTTCAAATAAAGTTATTCCCATATTTAAATATATATACCTTCTACATATAAGTAGAGAATATCCATTTAGCTTTAGAAAACATACACAAAAACCAACCATTGGACATTTCCCTCCATATATTCATAATTGTGAACCTGACTGCACAGAAACTTGAAGTAACTTTATTCTGTACATACCTTGTTTCTGGGTTGCACCTTTCTGAAAAGCAAATACAGTAAGTAGAAGTTGCCAACACTGAAGAGCAGATTAACAAATCTGAGCATTCCAATGGAACAGACCACATGTTCAGACCATCCCAGGATCCAGCTGGCAGGTTTGACCACTCCAACTGACACCAGGTACAGGCCGGGCAACGTAGTAATCATGGGATCCCACTTAAAAAGAAAAGATCAACAGTGAAGCAGAAGCCATAAGGACCTCATTGATAAAATATGTCAGAAATCAGTTTCCATTTGTTCCAATAATGAAGAATTTGGAGACGATATTCTGACATTTAAATAAGTCCTGGCAGAAGAGATGTCTTGAAGTTTTATTTTTAAGATTTAGTGCCCACATGTATTTTGTGACTAAACTGCACAGGCCCTAATTTTACAAGCCAGGCAAATAGTAGTTGGACTCTGGTGGATCTTAAGGATCTTGATGTATTTAGAAAGACTGCATTACAAGATTTCTAATCACAAAACCTGTCAGTTTAGGACTTGGGTTTAGCGCTGTTTTACCTCTTACAATAATGCATCCTGTATGAGAGACTGTAATTACTATTATTTTGCAGGCCAGTGACCCTTCAAATGGCAAAGGTTATGAGCAACAGCACCAAGAAATCAGGTTTTTCATCAACAGACTTTATATTTTGAAGCAGTAACCCATAGTGTGTTCATGAGAGAAGAAATGGTAACGTTTATCTTCGTATTATGCATGTTTATGTAATCAAACACATATTTTTTAAATGATGCAATCCGACTCGTTGCCAATATATCCAGACAACAGTAAGTTTCTGGGAAAAAAAAAAAAAAATCCAAGGATGAAGTCAGAATGAACCTATCACTTTTTGGTGGCCTAAGATCCTCCATTCCGCGTCCAAAATACTGAGTGGAACACCTCATAGGTAAGCTTTAGGTGCTTTTTTTCTTTTCTGCATTTTTCAAGGGGCACCTGCATGCATGCCTCTTAGTCGTGGGACTTAGGGAGGCAAATTGGTCAGTTGCCAAGAGGAGCTGTCATTTGGTGTCCGCCTTTCTCGCATCGCCTGCTCTAGATCTAGCGTTCACCTAACAAATAAGCCATAGATCCCCAGGCGAGGCACAGTCAGTCGTTACCCGGGGCCTTTCACGTTTTGAGTCTGGGAGGGCAGACGGGGAAGAGGTAAGGCCACACACACACACACACAGGTTGGGAGGAGTCGGTCCCGGGGCAGGGCCAGCAGGGACCAACCTGCGACAGGGAGAAGCGGCCCTCACAGTAGCGCTGCGCCTGCGGCAGGTGGAAGATCTCGTCCATGTAGGGCTCGCGCAGGGCGCGGCTGAAGGCGGAGAAGAGCAGGCAGGACACGAGGAAGGTGCAGCTCAAGGCGGCCGAGAAGTAGTAGCCCTCCAGCTGCGCCATCCCGCGGGGCCGCGTCCCGGGCCCCAGCCCCGGGCAGACGCGCGCTCAAAAAGCAGCGCGCAAGGCCCCGGCGGCGGCCGGACGAGGTACGGCAGGGCCGGCGCGCAAGGGATGCTGGGAAAGCGTTGGACGGAAGCCTGTGGAGGTCATGTTGCCGGAGGGGGAACATTTCTGCAACGCGCCGGACGGTTGTCCTGTCAATCACTCGGCTCAGAGCTCTCAGAGTGGCCAGAGCCGGAGGGAGGGGCGGGTCTCGGCTCAGGCGCGGGAACGGCTCCCTGGAGGCTCTGCAGAGGAAGCGGTTCTTGCGCCCTCTGTTGCTCTTAGAAGGCAGCGAGCGTCCCCAGCTTTCTAACCTCCGAGCTCCCCAACTACGTTTGTTTCCAGTTATTGCTGTTCTCCATTGCCAGTGAGATGAATTGCTAGAACCTTCATTACAATCAGTTGCAACCTGCCGTCTCTAGCGGGTAGGGAAGATTGACGCGTTCTTATTGAAACAGGCCAACAGCCCTTCCCTGCCAGGTGACCTCCCCTCTTGAAGAGCCTATTAGTTTTACAGGGGACAGCGTGCCCACACTGGTGAGATTGAGCTAACGTTCAGAGTTTGTGCGTTTTAGGTGAGGAACATTTCTCTGTGGATATAATTTGAGTTGCTGTTGCCGTGGGTGGTGGCTCACACCTGTAGTCGCGTACTTGAGAGGCTGAGGCAGGAGGAGTACTCCTAGTTCCAGATCAGCCTGGGATACAGTGTAGGATCTTTCCTTAAAAATAAATAATAAAGTCATTAATATCCATCTCTGTTGTAGTGCATTCTCCCAAAATGTGGCCTTAAGCATCCTAATGTGTGGTACTATGGAATATTTATGTGTGTGGTCTCAAAATGATGCTCACATGTATAAAGTTGTAGGCTAGGTAGGCCTCGCATAATCCCTTTATTCTGAGATTGGAGTTGAGACTGAAGATTGAGAAGATATTTGAAGGAAGCTGAAGATAGGGTATGTTTTGAGTGTGGTTGGTGATGTTTTGTTGGAAAAGACTTCTGCTAATCTCAGGTTGCTCTTGGCAGCCAGCAACTCATCACAAAACAGCTGAGCCCATGCTTTGATTTCTGAGCTTATGTTACACTTACCAATTTGAGACCATTTCCAGATAATTTAGACTACAACCACTTGACCTCAGACCCTGTATGCTGGCTCAATCATGACCATGCATACAGTTATGGCAATACACCCATAGAAGCAGAAGTAGAGTATAAACACTCTCTCCAGACACACAACAGACATTTCCAGATGCAAGAAATTCTGGGATTAGAAGTTCACTTCTTTAATAGTTACAACTGAAGGCATTACCTATACTTCAACAAGTTTGGATTCTGACACTCTGGGGGACTAGGAGTTAGATTCTCACATAGGCAGACCTAGGGAGAGGGCCATCATTACATAATAAAGATGGTGGACTTCCAAGATAGCTGGCTTCTTCCTCAGCCTCCTGACCTGAGACAAAAGCCTGGCAGCTTTTTCTGCCACCATTAAGGACCCTCAGCCCGTGGACCAATCTGACATGTTCAAGCCCCACCTTGTTCCAATCCTAAATTAGGGGAGGAAGACTCCCCCAAGACCATTAAAACCCACAGCTTTCTAAGACAGACCTGGCTTTGTTTGCGCATCTAAAGGAAACTTTCCACCCCAAACCAGGGCCATAAGATAGGCCCAAGGCTTCAAGAAACCTGTTCCCCATGGCATACTGGAAATTAGCCAACAGTTACTACATGGCCCCAGCCCTGAGGCCTCAAAACTAGACAATCTAATTTAACTAGTACCCTGAAGTTTATCCCAATAAAGAGCAGTTTCTGAGCCTCGTGAAGCCAACCACCCCCAGATCCTGCATGGTGCCTTCCATACCTTCTGATACCGAGGGTGTCACCCTCTCAGACTAATACAGTCTGCCCTCGCCTTTTTGGAATCAGAATGAGTCCATTGATTTTCCTACGCTGATTTATTTACTTCTTACACCACCCGCCTCTGCTTTGCAGAGGGTCTTTCTCTTTGTGTGTCGTGTGTGTGTGTGTGTGTGTGTGTGTGTGTGTGTGTGTATTTCCTCACCCCTAATAACCTTTTCTTTATGTGCTGAGTCTCTTTGCTGTATTCCGCTGTCTAAGATTTCCCCGTCTTTAAAGTCTTCAACTCTCAGAGAAAATGAACCTACTCAAGACCTCTAGATGATAAGTAACATTGTTTGTTTTTTGAGACAGGGTTTCTCTATATAACAGCCCTGGCTGTCCTGGAGCTCACTGTAGACCAGGCTGTCCTCATGTCCTCAAACTCAGAGATCCACCTATCTCAACCTCCTGGGATTAAAGGCATGGGCCACCTCTCCCAGCTGATAAGGAACATGTCTTGATAAACTCTAAAGATTTTCCTAAATTTTGCCCCTAAATCAAGATATCCCATTAAATAGTTACTACTGAGGTTTTAATGATGTACATTGTATTTCCTTAGATCTATTTTTAGAAACTGGATCCTTTTTTTTTATTTTATATGCATTGGTGCTTTGCCATGGGTGTTGGAACATGCTTTGGAACTAGAGTTACAGACAGCTGTGAGTTGCCTTGTGGCTGCTGGGAATTGAACCCCAGTCCTCTGGAAGGGCAATTATCACTGCCATATGAATTTATGCACCTTAATAATTAAGATAGTCTTAGTTTAGCGAACAAAAAGTGTACTTGTGAGTGATTTACTATTTCTGAATAAGGGTCCCCCTAAATACTACACTTGTGAGTAAAAAAATGTCTGTAAGTGCCCTCTTACATTGAAGTATTGTCAAATACTTCAGGACAGACATCCTGCCTTACCATCTGTCTTCACTTGTTGCTGAATCAAACTTTGGCTACTTGATCGTAACAGTGCTGTTTTACTCCGTGAAGTGACAGTTGCTTCTAGCTACAGGGGGGACTGCAACCTGAGCCAATATCCTATACAGTAGCCTCTAAAATGCAATTTTAGACTTGAAATCCATCTTTGGCTGATGTGTTATCACTGGGGAATAAGCAAACAGAAAGTTCTAAATGAAAGGAAACATGCACAAAATTTCAGTTCAAAATGTTGTGGGGCTCCCACCAGAAAAGAACACTCAGACACAGTCTATTGAAAGTCTTTATTCCAGCCGGCTGTTAACTACACCTAGGTATTCAGGACTTACTTATAGTCCTGAGTGTGGTGATATTTTATGTGTGCACCCCAACAAAGCATTTCTGGGGATCAGAGGAAAAAGCCAGCCACTATATTAAACATAGAGGTCGGGCAGTGGTAGCACACACCTTTAATCCTAGCATTCAGGAAGCAGAGATCCATCTGGATCTCTGTGAGTTCAAGCCCACACTGGGAACAGAGCCAGGTGTGGTTTCACAGGTCTTTAATCCCAGTGCTAGTTAACCATAGAGGTCTGGAGGTCTGTACAAACAGACAGGAAGTGATAGAGCTGGGTGGAAAGAGGAGGTGATGTAGCTGGGCAGGGAAAGGAAGTAAGATGGCAGAGCATAGAAAGGTATATAAGGTGTGAGTATACAGGAACTAACTCTCTTTGGGCTGAGGATTTCCTAGCAGAAAGAACTTGTGGCTTGGCTTGTTCTATTTCTCTGATCTCTCAGTTTTCACCCTACTATCTGACTCTGGGTTTTTTTTTTTTTTTAATAAGACTATTTAGCAATTCGTCTTATACCTGAGCCTTTCTCAGGACCCTTATTTAAGAAAAAAAAAATCTTGGTTGGAAAGTTGTGGTGGTTTGAAAGTAAATGCCCCCCATACACTCATAGGGAGTGGCGCTAGAGGTGTGGCCTTGTTGGAGGAAGTGTGTCACCAGGGACAGGTTTTGAGATTTCAGATGCTCAAGCCAGGCCCAGTGTGGCATTTTCTTCCTGCTGCCTGCCCATCCATATGTAGAACTTGCAACTCCTTCTCCAGCACCATGTCTGCCTATGTGCTACCATACTCCCACCATGACGATAATGGACTAAACCTCTGAACTGTAAGCCACCCTTAATTAAATGTCCTTCATAAGAGTTGCCATGGTCATGGTGTCTCATCACAACAATAGAACCCTAACTAAGGCAGCAGTCTTCAAGGTTCCCTTCTCACAGCTGCAAGCTAAGAGATAGTCAAAAGCCAAAATGTGCAATTAGCAAAAACTAGCAAGGTCAGGTTGACCGTTGCAAAGAACCAGTACCTTTGAGTTGTTTTTCTTCACAGAATTGTTTTTCTTAGGTTCCCTCTTCCAGGTACTGGCACTCAGCAAGACAAAATTCATCTGAGGTACCATTACAGAGTCACCATAGGCAACTTACAGCCCTTGTCACAAAAAAGTATTAGCAAGTATTTTACTGAAAATATTGAAGTTATGGTGAGGGGACAAATCTTTCTGCTTTTCTGGAGCTGTTCCAATTCTGGCCCTGAGCACCTCAAATAAACATTAATTGCTGGTCGTCTAGAAAATTGCACCATATAACCCAAAGGAAATATATATATCTGACTCTTAAAATGTGACCCCCCCCCCCAGACCAGCAAAACTAGCAGCACCCAAGAACCTGTAACAAATCTGAGTCATCAAGCCAGTGCCTTGGAACTCACGAAGCAGAAGGTCAAGAATTGAATGAAATGCTAAGGGTTAGCCATTCACTTATTAATCACATATGGGGCTGCGGAGACGGTTTGGTAGGTAAAATGCTAAGCATGAAGACTTGAGTTCAGATACCAACAGCTGAAAAAAAAAAAAAAAAGCCGGGCATGGTGGCCCACGCCTGTAATTTTAGCAGAACGATCCTGAGGCTTCACTAGCCAGCCAGTTTAGCAAAATTGGTAAGCTCTAGATCAGTGGTTCTTAACCTGGGGGTTGAATAACCCTTTCACAGGGGTCACATGAGACCATTAAAAAAATACAGATATTTACATTACCATTCATAAAAGTAGCAAAATTACAGTTATGAAGCAGCAACGAAAACAATTTTATGGTTGGGGCTCACCACCACGTGAAGCATTGCACTAAGTGATCACAACGTTAGGAAGGTTGAGAACCACTGTTCTAGATCATTTTTGGGACCCTGTCTCAAAAAATTAAGGTGGAGAGCAATAGAGAGCAGTATGACGTCATCAATGCCTGGCCTCCACAAGCAGGCACACGAGTGTGCATACACACCTGTGTACAAATGACACATGCACGGGAATACAACACTCCACACGCAAGTCAAGTATGATCGTCTTTGATGGCATGTGGATTTCCATAGCAGTGCTTGTTGTCTGATGTCCTTGCTTTTCTGATGTCCACGATGCCTTGTTTCCTCTGATAGTCTGGTTCATGTTTGTTCCTGTCCCTTCATGTGGAGGGATGAGTCTTTCCTGGTTCTTTGTCTTTGGGCTTTCCCCTACCACAAAATAAAACATTGCCAAAGCCCTTACTCAGCAAGAAGTGAGAGTTGGACTTCAAATACAGTTTAGTATGTTTGACCATATAGGTTCATATTTGGATACATTTTTTTTCTCTTGGAAGATTTCTATGTGGAAAGAAAGTGCTTTCTCATGCTTTTGCTGCCTATAGATGAGGAACATTCACAAAGCAGAAACTTCATGAAGTTTCGGGGCTTTGAGCATTTAATTGATGTAAAACTTGAGTGTATCAGGAACGGGTTATTAAATGAGTCTGACAGCCACAGTGGTGAAGTTGCAGAATCATTTAAACACCAACGTGAGAAATGAGATGTGACAATGACCTAATTTGAATGTATACACAACTTACATTTTCACAGACACTATGATAGAGTCTAACTTGGAAAATCTCAGAGTTAGAACTGAGTTCCGCCATTCAAATTTAAAATCTGAAAAGCTAGGTTTCAGCCAAGTTGATGTACGAGTTGAGGTGGGGTAGGCAGACGTCCCTTTGGTTTTAGAAGCAGAAGACCTATGGGGGCATTTTTAAATCTAGTGATTGGTACCTACCTGGTGCGGGTTAAAAGATTGGAACACATTTAGAAGATTATTCTTTAGCTGTTTTCATGCTTTAGATTTAGTAGAAGCAGAGATAACATGCGTTTCATTAATAAAATTTAGGTTCAGATACCTAGTGCCGATTTCCTTTCACAGGCAGAGCCCACACTAGAGAAGTTCCCTGCTCTGTGGCTCCTGTCCTCTCCTTCCTGTTTGCTCTTTATTCTTTCTCTGAATAAGATGGCAGACCACATCAAATAGTTTACATTTATTTAACGTAATAAAACAAAACACTCTACTGTTTATTACTGTCTCAAAACGGTAGTTTCTGTAATTATCAAGTTTCAATGATTAATTCAAAGTTTGAGAAAGGTCTATGGCATTAAATGGTTGCGATAGCACTTGCTTCCACTAGAGGGCGATGACAACCTCTGTGGAATCAGGACCTGTTTATTGCCTTTCCAGTTATGTATGAGTCCTCCATGCCGATGGGCTATCAGATATTTGCCTAATAAGACTGCCATTCAGGGTGGCTGTGTTTATTAGCTTTTGAAGTTCATGGTTATCATTAACAATAATTCCTCTTATTATTTTTGTTTTCTATATTATGTTCTCTAAAAGTCTTATAAGCAGACCAAAAATTTTGGAAGCAGAAGAAAGACTGGACAGTCTGACAGAGAGGCAAGTTTGCATGGATGTGATTGGCATCCTGCTCCTGGGGATGAATAGAGAACACTGGATACTTTCCTGGACCCATCAATCACATGAAATAAAAGCCTTATCTCTGGGGAAGGTGAGTTTCCATTCCAGGGCTCAGGCAGAGATCCTGTAGGAGGGAGAGAGAAGGAAAAAATGCCTGTCCTTTATGGTTGGAGTGCCAAGAAGGCTTTAGGCCAGGATTTCCCAAAGCAGGGGTTTGTGCTTCTGCTGGAAGCAGGAAATACTGCAGGATCTGGAGCTGCCTCATCTTCTCGAGCAAGTCAGAGCATCCTAATGAGGGAGGAAGGGGGCTGAGTAGTGGGAAAGAAAGCCTGCATCTCTCAGATATGCGAGGCTGATTATCACCGAAGGGGGACCATGTGATGCAAGTTCATGTCCTCTCCAACCATGAGTGCAGCGCAGCATGCAACACCCAGTGATAAGTAGAGCAGTGGGGGGGGGGGGGGGGCTTCCTCCAGACTTGGAAGGACAGGTGAAGAGGGGCACACATGATATAAAGGAAAGGCAAATCACAGATATCCACTTTTTGTCTTGGTTTTTTGAGACAAGGTTTCTCTGTGTAGCCCTGGCTGTCCTGGAACTCGCTCTGTAGAGATCTGCCTGCCTCTTCCTCCCCAGTTCTAGGATTAAAGGTGTATGCCACCACTGCCTGGAAAACCACTTTTTAAAACCCAGTCATGCACTTTGATTATATAGCCAAAGCACACACTTAGGTTATAGAATATATTCCAACGTCATAGTGGTATTCTCATAAATGTGTGCATTTTCTAGTTCAGATATTGGCAGGAGGATTGGGAGATGATTGCAGTAATTTATACTTCTTCAAGCAGTGTGTGGTGTGTCAGGGGGTTCCCTAGCCAGCACCTAATGCTGCTGATTTTTATGTTTATACACTCTAGTGCATAGGTAATGACACTGTGTTTAGTTTTAATTTGCTTTCTCTGATGATGGTTGAAATGTTGAGGCTCATTTGAATATGCTCTTTTAAGAGGCCTTTTAAAATTCACTGTCCCTCCCCCCTTTTTTTTTTTTTACAGTGGACAATTTTGATGGCAATTATAATGATTCTGAAAAGCCATGCAAATGTTTGGGTGGTGATTGGACAATATGGCTGCTGTGTGCAGGACCAACGTCCTAACAGGAACAGGAGTTGCTTGTGTCTAGGCTGGAAAGTCTTCACAACTTGAGGAGCCAAGCTCTAACATCAGTGGGGGTATTCTGAAGTCTATCTGCCTGCTGCTTTTATACTCCCACATTCCTGTCTTGCATGTATGTATTTGAAAACATCACCCAAGAAGTTTACAAAAAAAATAAAAAAGGACTTCACTAAATATTGAAAAAGAATAATTCACACATCATTATTCAAGAATGAAAGCAAGACATGTTGACTTTCAAACATGATAGTTATTACAGGTTCTATGTTGTCATCTAAAATGCTCTAAATGGCTCCAGATTGGCAGGATGTTTCAAAATAATGATTTTATTTAAATGCAAGAGAATTTCAGCCAGTTGTCAGTTTCTGACTTTGAAAAGTCCAGCTGCTCTCTCCTTCTGACATCTCACCTGTACAGTTCTCATCACATCCACGACATGAGCCTTTGCTGTTACAAATCTTTGGAATATTTTTTTCTCACTGTTTGTGTTTTCATGTGCTTTTTTTTTTTTTTTTTTTTTTTTTTTTTGGTTTTTCGAGACAGGGTTTCTCTGTGTAGCTTTGCGCCTCTCCTGGAACTCACTTGGTAGCCCAGGCTGGCCTCGAACTCACAGAGATCCGCCTGGCTCTGCCTCCCGAGTGCTGGGATTAAAGGCGTGCGCCACCACCGCCCGGCTCATGTGCTTTTGAAAGTATTCAGGAAGACTTCTGAAGTCTTATATTTAAATGATTAATATAAATTTTTAAAATTGGAATACTTTCCGGTGAGAGAATATCAGAAGAACATTGTGTGTAACTGAAGCTACACTATAGACTTTCATCTGCCCCCCTCATCCGTATGCATCTGAGATTGTCTAATACTAACAAAATCAAGATATACTAATGTGTAAAGTCAGAAGAACAGGCTTAGAGGTTTATGATGATCACAGCTGAGAAGAAGTAATCAAAGATTGGTAAGAATAGTGTCACTTATTTAGAACAATTGCAAGTGTATTAGACTTAGTGTACTTTTGGAATTCAATTGCAAGTATGTTCTGTGCCTGGGGATTTAGCTCATTGGCAGATTCTTGCTTTGTATGCACAAGGCCCTTGATGTAATTGCCTACATTTAAAAAAATGTGGCTGTGAACTGGTACCAGTCTAGAACACTGTAGTGTTGATTTGTGACCAGATGGAGACGAAGACCAAGACTGTATTGGTTTACTTCTCTGTTGATGTGATGAACACATTAGCTAAATGGAATTTGAGGAGAAGGTGTTTGGCTTATACATCTTAATCCCAGTCAATCACAGAGAAAATCAGGGCAGGAACTTAAGCAAGAACGGAGGTAGAGAACACTGAGGAGTGTTTATTAGCTTGCTTCCCATGGCTTGTTTAGCTTCCTTTTTTTTTGTTGTTGTTTTTTGTTTTTTTGGTTTTTTTTGAGACAGGGTTTCTCTGTGTAGCTTTGCGCCTTTCCTGGAACTCGCTTTGGAGACCAGGCTGGCCTCGAACTCACAGAGATCCGCCTGCCTCTGCCTCCCAAGTGCTGGGATTAAAGGCGTGCGCCACCACCGCCCAGCTTAGCTTCCTTTCTTATAAAACTGAGGACCACCTGTCCAGACTTGGTACTGCCCACAGTGGACTGGCCTGACTCACATCAATCTTTAAACAAGAAAATGCCTCATAGATTTTCTTACAGCTCAAACTGATGGAGACAGTTCCTCAATTAAGATTCTTCCACAATGATTCCAACTTGAGTCAAGTTGAAAACAAACAAACAAAACAAAACAAAACAACTACAAAACACCTCGCCATCAAAAGGAATGAGGATTTTGATCTCTCTATATAACAGAATGTCAGAGTAATTTTATGTCCCTGGGATCTAAGGTCCAAAAGGTGATCCTTTTATATTTATATATTTCATGTATATTCTAGTCTTCTTTCATTTCTCATTTGCAGTGATTCATTTAACTGCTTTTGAGAGGATTTTCAGTATGTGATTAATTAGAAATTAAAGGAACATTTGTTCTTTTCTGTACATAGTTTGAGAAAAAACTAAAAAGCATTTTGATAAACAAAACTTTAGCTAAAAATTAAATTTTAGAAGTTTGACTTCATCCTATGCCCAGAAGACACTAAGCATGTTCGACCTGATGGCTTAGGAGCTACATGACCATGTTACCTCCTCTCAATATCGTCTAATCCAATGTTCAGTCTTCTGTCTTCGCTCTCCCTTTTTTATGTGTTGAAAATCTAGTGTTTTGTGACTGTCTAAAATGTCACCTATGGGATGGGGAGACGGCACAGTGAAGGAAGTGCTCCCGATGTATGAAGAAGACCAGCACACAAATCCTTAGCACTACGTGAAGGCCACATATGGCAGTGTATGCCTCAGAGGGGAGAGACAGGGAGATTCTGGGGCTTGGTGGCCTATCACTCTAGTTGAAATGGCAATCTCTAGATTGACTCCGTCTCAGCAACAAGGTTGGAAGTGACAGAGGAAGAATTCTGATGTCGCCTCCCAGCCCCCCCACAGGTAACTACACCCATAAATAGACATGCAGACACATTCTCCCATCATACATACAAAATAGAATGTTGCTTATCAGATAGCCTAAAATAAACTTTCTATTAAGCCCCACAATTTTTCGCTTTTCTTATGAATATACACTTAAGCATATACTTCTTTCCTTATACAGACCCATCATTAGATCCTTCTCTACAGTGAAATAAAATTCTTATTATGTTCCTCAAAACAAAATAAATCCCAGTAGCCACATGAAGGTTGAATAAGCCAAAAATCTGCTTGTAAACAAAAAAGTAAGATAGGCAAATATGTCTAAAGTTGATTATGTGTGTGTATGGAACCATTATTTTAAAACCCTTATTTTTCACAGTTAATATATACCAATAAAAGTTTTTATCAAAGAGAAAGGGCACCTGTTTGTCTATTGATCTTCTTTCTTTCTACCCTCTGGAAGCTTGGGCATCACCCCTGTGCACATATTCTTACAAAGTGAATATGGTATTTGTGTTAGTTACTTTCTTGTCACTGGGACAAAATACCTGTTATAAACAACCTGACTGGGAATGTCTTGGCTTTTCATTTCAGGGAATTCAATCCATTGTCTCTTGACTTTGAGCACTTGGTAGAACATTGTGTCAGAAAGAGCAGGAGGCAGAAAATATTTGTCACCTTGTTGGTGACAGAAAGCAAAGGAAAAGAACAGGATTCAGAATTCTAAATGACCTGCAAAGGTACTTTTTGCAACGATGTCCCGACTCCTAAAGGTCCCAGAATCTCCTCAAATTGAGCCTCCTGATAGGGACCACACTTTTAATACACCAGACTGTGAAACACATTTCACAAGCATAGAAAGATTCTTACAGAAAAATTTGTAAGCTTTGCAATCAGCTCTCACATTAGGATTTTGTTTCTGGGGTGGGGAGAGAAAACAAAATGGCATGTATGGCCCTCCAATGCAATGGGTCCTCTTCATTCCCACTAGTCACGTAGTTTAAACAAGAGTGATACTACAGCAGAGAAACTGCATCATAGCTTAGTGTGGTAGCTCACACTGCCTACACGACACAGTAAGTCCACATATGTGTGAGTTACAGAATGAGACAGACAGACAGACAGACAGACACACACACACACACACACACACACACACACACACACACACACACACACAAAATCAATCAATAACCTGTTTTGGAAAACTTATGGTTTATTTTTCAACTCTAAGTTTATGTTTATCATAGATTTATAGTTATTGTTATTATTGTGGGTTCTTTTAAAAATAAATCATTTTACGGATCTCTAATTGATCCAAGTAAATTTTATTTATTTAGGTGTACATGGTCTGTGTACAATCCTTCATGGATGGAAGTGCAAGCCTCCCCCACAGTTTCTTCATTTACTAACTAATCAAATCTGAATACCCAAAACAAGCTAAAATATGTGCCAAATGGCTTGGTAAAAATATTTTGATTCAACTTATCAACCACTTATCTCTTTTTTTTCATAAATGTAGCAAGCAATTTTTTTGGAAATTATAGATACTTTCCTTAATGGAGAAAGTTCACATCTGTACCTGTATCTGGATTGATCTCTGTATTTATTTTGTGTCAACATTCAATGGCCTTGGCCTAGACATCAGTGCTGAGACTAGGAGAATTTGGGGAGGTTATATTAATTTTCCACCGTGGTTGTTCATAATAAATCTGTAATATGTTATACTCTCTCCTAAGTTAAATGTTACTACTGCAAATAATGAGAATTAAGTGTGTGTCAAAGCCTCCGCAGACTCAGCCCCAGATGCTTCACTACCATGAGGATGTCTCTTTAGCCTGCATTCCAGATGGAAACGTATACAGGATCAAGTCACAGCAGCCAACATATGGGTCATGTTGCTTCTGCTGTAAAACCTGCTGATGTTGTTGCAATTATCATGTTGCTACAATTACCATGTGCTCTAGTTTAGATATGAGTTGTTCCCAAACAAATTCTGTTGAGGCTTCAAAACCAGTGGCAGTTCTGGGAGATACATGCCATTAAAATGGATTAATGCATTTCTTGTTCTTTCAGTCTGGATGAGCCACTATGAAAACTGGTTGCTATGAATTAAGCCTGGCACACACACTCTTCCACACAGTTTCCCCTTTATGATTTACAATCATAAGCAGAGCCATGGTGAGGCCCTCACCAGAACCTGAGTCTATACACTTGGGCCTTCAGAACTATGAGTTTAAAAAAAGGCCTTTACTGTATAAAGTCCCTAGCCTTAGGTTTTTTGCTTCAGCGGTACAAAATAGACTAACTTACCTTCTAAACATGATAGAAATGACATGTTCTATGTCAAATATACAAAAGCTGTTATTAAATGAGTGAGTACATGGATAAATGATGAAAATAAGCCGAGAGGGCCATGAGATATAATATCATCTGAGTTGTCTGAAAAGGAGAAAAATAGTTAAAAATCACTGGGTAACTGAAGAGATGGACTGGATGTTAGGGATGTGGGAATGTGATGCGAGAGTTGGCTTGACACGGTGCAATGCCTTTTGCCCCAGAATATGTAAATAATTCAGTCTATAAAATAGTCTGTTGGTGCATGAATAATGAGTCTTCTGTTTGACATGTCCTCAGTAAATATTTAATGAATTTCTGTTGATCTTAATATCACTTTAAATAACACTTCATGGAAAATGAGTGCTGCCTCATTAAAATAAGGAAGGAAACTAGAACAGAGGGCTCTCTATTAAAGATTGTAACAGGACTTTGATTAGCAAATGGATGATTTAAAAACTCCATGTTATTAAAGCAAGGTCACAGCACTAAAAATTGACTTGCTTCATTTATTTTGAAGAATAAATTTTAGCTTTCATTATTTGTGACACTTTAAAGTATGACCAACAAATTTATTGCCTCATTTGGAACATTTAATCAAATCTATGCTTTGAGATACTTTGCTGTTATTAATGGATACAGATAAGTCAGAAATGATGTTT